GCATTTTTAAATGTTTAACATCCAAGCTCGAATTATCGCTTTCAGATACCTTTCCCACATTGAATCAGGATGTTTAGCACAAACCTTTTCAACAAATCACCACCTACTTCTTCAGATGACCACTATGTCTTTCCTCCTGTCCTCCAAAGTTTTCTCAAGAAAGATTCTATTTCCAATGCCCCATCCACACCCGACAGAGCTCCTCTGATTACTGATTCTAGTGGGGATTCCTCTCAACCTCCTTCCACCTCCTCCCTCTTCTCTCGACGCTTGATTATGTTCTCTGTGCCCTCTGATAGCGAGCCGGAATCCTTTCGAGGATTATCTCGGGGTCAGCGCCTTTTTTACTTCGGTGTATCAGCCTTTTGCGCCTCTTTGTTCTTCTCCTTCGCTCTCATCTTCGTCCCTCTCCTCACCACACCTTCGGGCTTACGCAAATTCGTTCTCATGTATATCCTCGGCAATGTTGCACTCATGTTCGCATTCGCCTTTGCCTTTGGTCCTTGGGCGTATGTAAAGAGTCTGGCAACTCGGGACCGTCTACTCTCTACCTTAACTTACGGAGGAAGCCTCTTCATTGGTATCTATGGCGTGGTGTGGTGGCGAAGCACCTTCTGCGCCCTCCTTGCTATCGTCATCCAAATCGGGCTGGGCCTGTGGCAGCTGAAACAATTTATTTGGGGAGGGGCGAAGGCCCTTTCCTTCTTAACTATACTCTCCTCTCTGAGGCCGGGCAGAATCTCGGGTACCAATCTACCGGTTTAAGTAGAGGGTTTATACGCAGTTTTGTCTTGGTTTTTTTGGGAATTATATTTCTTTTGTACATCGCAGATCCCTTACATGTTTATTTGGAGGTGTTGTTGGTAAGTATGAGTCGAAGAAGGCGTTTTGGCTATGCTACGTTCCACTTCATACACGTATATTCGTAAACTCTGTATACTTGTCTGAGCAATACGCATTTTGGGTTGAGGTTTGGGTGTCTGGTGGATAGATTTTCTGCCCATAATTTTCGTAATGACATGTCTGGACGACAAATTTGCTGCGGTAATTATGGAACTAGAAAGTTTGCCTATTGTTACGCACCGTTTTCAACTGCGGCTGACTATCTTATACTATTTACTGGCTCAGCCCGAATCGGCGGCTTACTAATGGTTGTCAAGACGGTCTATCCACAATTTTCGAGAGAATCTGTATGACTTCATAGAACTCTGCTTTCTTGACGAATTGAGTGAGTAGAGACCTCGTCCAACGCTTTGCTCTTTTACATTCCTACTACCAGTAAGATACTGTGCTAGGCGAGCGCAAACAGCCAAAACAGCGAAACCAGTAGAAAGGATTATCCTGTGTCATACTTTCTCACCAATACGTTTTGGACCCCTCCAATCCCGGAAATCGACACCAAACCTGCCCTGGTAACCTTGGCTGGGTAATAGTAAATAAGAGCCCTGACGTTGACTGCTCGCGTGGGCGCTGCAACAGGCTTAAAGATGTAATGTGCTATAAACGTTGATTCCAGGCAATTCCGAGTCAGCATACCCACTATCTTTTATTGGGGGTCTTTGCTTAAGATGTATTTGATTCGAATTTGCTCACCACCATGGGAACGAACTTGGCAGTTCTGCCCACAGCGCGAAACGGGCCTCCACGAGCCTTCGTACACCCAATGAGTTAGGCGCGTCCAAACCAGCGCTGACATGTGAATCTGCCTAGTTCACGGATCCGTCGGCTCAGAGAACTAGATATGCTGTTCGTCTAAGTGCTAGCACAATCGATCGCAAAATGCCTCTCTTCCCAAAAACCACCTACTTGGTAATTCAGCGTCTCCATCTGTTCAATCATTCCTGCTAGGATAAATGATGTTCAAGGGCCCATTTGAAAACAAAAGATGACGTTGCATGTAATTAGTACAGCGGTCGGAGATGTTAAGTCATCGAAATAG